AGAAATGCAGTGTGATCTTGGAAAGTAAGTTCTATTTAATAATTTTGTTATTTAAAAAAAAAAGAAAAACACAGCGAACCTCATTATATATACAAAAAAAGTTGTTTGGGGGTGATTTAAAATTAATTGCTTCATTCTTTCACAGCCCAGCCATCTAATCAATCTCCGATGTCTCTAACGTCTGATGCTTCATCCCCAAGATCCTATGTGTCTCCAAGAATAAGCACACCTCAAACTAACACAGTCCCTATCAAACCTTTGATTAGTACTCCACCTGTTTCGTCACAGCCAAAGGTAGGTCACCTTTGTAGGATTACGGGAATGGCTGACTCGTAGAAATGGTAGTATTTTAGAAAATAGGTTTTGGGAAGTGTCCTTTGAGAACGAGGTAGCAGTGGAATGAGTGGCTAGTGGGTGACATTAGATGAGTCAGTGTGGATGAGCAGACTTGAGTCTCAACTTCTTCTGTATACTGTGTGATTTTGCCTGATTATTTTGGTGATTGCGACATGGAATTCTAAATAAGCAGGATCTATGGGAGAATCTTAATATTTATCAAATTTCTCTACTCTGTTGTTGGGTGTTTGTTGTTTTCTCTTAAAATTTCCTTTTAATTGTGTACCACCTTCTCATAAGAATTTGATGTTTTTTAGTTTTTGCCTAAGAATAACATGCTGTTTGCTTCACTTAGGAAATTAAATTTTTGTGTAAATCTAGTTTTTGTAGTAGAGTTATAATTAAAAATGAAGGTCCTTCTGAATGCAGAGAGCATTTTTCTGAGCATCACTCCCTGTGTTTAGGTACAGAACCACAGCTGTAAATATACCTGGAGTGCAGACTCATTTTGGCACCTGTCCCATGTCTGCATCTTGACACACTCCATAAGTCAGTGCCAGCTGTTCTGACTCTCTCTTTACATGTAGGTTTGTGTACACACACAGAGTTTTCCTCCACCTGATTTCTGTCTTTCAGTTGAACTTACATCTCCTCATAGAAGTCTGAGCAAAAATGGAACTAGTTTAAATTTGAAGCTATTAAAATTCAGATGTTTAATCATAAAAACACAAATAAATTTAGTCTCTATTTGTGCATTTTCTCTTAACAGTAGTGTTAAATGATTTATATTCACCCAAATGGTAGAGCAGTCTCAAACCGGTTCATTTTCTTGTTACTCTCAACTTCTTGGTGTTTTTATTTTATTCTGCAAGATACCTGTAACTCTTCAGTTTTGCACATAAATATTTTATATAAACAGTCTGAAATTATGTAAAACAGTCTGTAAAAGGCATTCTTGGGCATCACAAGTACACGGTATTTCTAAGTACTAGTTGTTTTGGTATTTAAAGCATGGTGAGTATTGTTATACAGGGTTTCGTTGGTCAGCTTGTTGAAAAAAAGCAGTCATGTGAAATAGCAACCATCTCTTCAATTGATTGCCAATAATGTACTAAGCACTAACTTGCGTTGGCTCTTACTGTTCTTGACAGTATTACTAGAATTGAGGATATTATTGGCTTACCTTTATTGTGAACCTTTTCTCTTCCGATCATTTCAAGTCTTTACGCCCATTATGTTACTGTGTGTGCCAAGCTTTCACGTTGAAAATTTTATGAAACCAATTTGTTTTTTTTTTACTATTGCTATTTGTTATCTATAAGTTTCACGTTGTTACTAATAATGCCAAACCAACTTCTTTATTTTGAATGTTTTAAGTTCTTACAGCAGCTGTAACACAAGCTTCCCTGCAGTCTATCATCCACAAGTTTCTTACTGCTGGACCATCTGCTTTCAACATCACCTCTCTGATTTCTCAAGCTGCCCAGCTCTCTACACAAGGTATTCTTTCTTTCTCTTAAGTTATTTATAAGATTGTCTTGTATTGTTCTGTCATTAAGGGAAAGGTTTTAGTTTGAGAAAATATTACCTATAATAGTGATTTTGTTTGACTTTTAGTATTGGTATGCTCTTGGATATGTTTATTTCCTTCATTTTATACTTGGGTACTCATCTGACTGGATCAGTGTATTTGTAATACATCATATATTTTAATCAAAATATAAATTATTGATAAGGCCTTTTATTTAATGCCAAAAGCAAACTATACTATACTCTCAGTCATTTCTAAAATATCTCACACACTTGAGGACTTGGAAGTTTGCCTTGGGTTGTTGATAACAGTTTTTGACTATAGGATGCAGAAATAACTTTGGGCTTTGAGTTGGTTTGTGTCTCTTTTCCTCAAACGTATGCAGAAGAGGAGATGCAGCAGCACTAAGTCTGTCAGAAAGTCCACAAAGAGAACAGACACAGCATGTTGAGCAACAGAAGTTTAATGGTAGAAGTCCATTTGGCTAACTGCATGAGGCAAGGGACTACAGACAAATCCTGAGCCTAAGTGGAGAATAAATAAGAACTAAGGATGATGAACTAAGGCTACTGTGTGGGAATTAAGTTCCCACTTAGCTTTGCAGTATCAGGAAGGAAATTTGATCTCACTGTAGGCCTTGTTCCTTTAGTGAAGATACCAAATTCTGATAAGATTCACCTGTGTATCTTTGCAATGTGTAGAAAAACACAGCGAGCCAGGCGGTGGTGGCGCATGCCTTTAATCCCAGCACACGGGAGGCAGAGGCAGGCGGATCTTTGTGAGTTCAAGGCCAGCCTGGTCTACAGAGCGAAATCCAGGAAAGGCGCAAAGCTACACAGAGAAACCCTGTCTCGAACCCCCCCCCCCAAAAAAAAAAAAAGAAAAACACAGCGAACCTCATTATATATACAAAAAAAGTTGTTTGGGGGTGATTTAAAATTAATTGCTTCATTCTTTCACAGCCCAGCCATCTAATCAATCTCCGATGTCTCTAACGTCTGATGCTTCATCCCCAAGATCCTATGTGTCTCCAAGAATAAGCACACCTCAAACTAACACAGTCCCTATCAAACCTTTGATTAGTACTCCACCTGTTTCGTCACAGCCAAAGGTAGGTCACCTTTGTAGGATTACGGGAATGGCTGACTCGTAGAAATGGTAGTATTTTAGAAAATAGGTTTTGGGAAGTGTCCTTTGAGAACGAGGTAGCAGTGGAATGAGTGGCTAGTGGGTGACATTAGATGAGTCAGTGTGGATGAGCAGACTTGAGTCTCAACTTCTTCTGTATACTGTGTGATTTTGCCTGATTATTTTGGTGATTGCGACATGGAATTCTAAATAAGCAGGATCTATGGGAGAATCTTAATATTTATCAAATTTCTCTACTCTGTTGTTGGGTGTTTGTTGTTTTCTCTTAAAATTTCCTTTTAATTGTGTACCACCTTCTCATAAGAATTTGATGTTTTTTAGTTTTTGCCTAAGAATAACATGCTGTTTGCTTCACTTAGGAAATTAAATTTTTGTGTAAATCTAGTTTTTGTAGTAGAGTTATAATTAAAAATGAAGGTCCTTCTGAATGCAGAGAGCATTTTTCTGAGCATCACTCCCTGTGTTTAGGTACAGAACCACAGCTGTAAATATACCTGGAGTGCAGACTCATTTTGGCACCTGTCCCATGTCTGCATCTTGACACACTCCATAAGTCAGTGCCAGCTGTTCTGACTCTCTCTTTACATGTAGGTTTGTGTACACACACACAGTTTTCCTCCACCTGATTTCTGTCTTTCAGTTGAACTTAGATTATGAGTAAGGCTAGCCTCTTTTTTTTTTTTTTTTTTTTTAAGAACAATTCACCAAAATAAAATGAAATTCCAGTTTATTGTTCCAACATTGTTTCACACATACATCAACCAGATCAAAGAAATAAACAGTAACTTCATAGTCAAAGGAAGAAGAAAAAAGAAACTTTCTATCTTTGGCCTCTTGGACCATCTCATACAAACCAATTACTTAGGTAGTGCAGCTAGATGCATACACAGACAAGTTGCTGAAGGCTAGTCGTTGTGATCTGGGATCCTGCCCTGCCTGGGGAGTGCTGGTTTTCTAGGCTGGCTGGAATTTACGTAAGGGCTCTCAGTCCTGTCTTTGGTTTGTATAGCGAGGGCTTTCTCCACTGAGTTATCTCTGCTTTGTTGGTATCCTTTGAGTTAGTGAGGGTTAGAGCTTGCTGAGTGGAAAAGTTGTGGGCTTGTGGTTTTGTTGTTCTTTGTTGTTAATAACAAAGGGAAGAAATTTTCAGAGAATTATTAAAACTTCATTTTCTTTGACGATGACATGAATATATATTTGCAAACACACGTTGATCGCAAACACACGTTGATCGGTTGTTGAAATCAGAGTATCTGTGTTCCAGTAATGTAATGTGCATTTTTATAGAAATCTAAAAAGAGAAATGCTATCGTATATTAGAAAACTGTTGAATAATAGTTTTTCCTGTTGGTGTTAGTAATGTGGTTTGGTAATTTTTACTATAGGGCGTTTTATAAAACAGTTCAAATTTTAATTTTTGGGACTGACTGATGACTAAGTTGTTAAAGACTTATTACTGAAGAGATGGGAGTTTGGATCCCACTACTCAACTAAAAGCCAAACAAACATCACCATCAATATTAGTGTAATGAAACAAAATTGTGACGACTTTGTTAACTATTGTAGAATTTCATTGGTATTAGAATTTTTTTGCTTATCTAATTTTCTTGCTATTTGCCTGTGTGGATAAAAGCTTGTCTTATCAAATTTTGACATTTTAGGTTAGTACTCCAGTAGTTAAGCAAGGGCCAGTGTCACAGTCGGCCACACAGCAGCCTGTAACTGCTGATAAGCAGCAGAGTCACGAGCCTGTCTCTCCTCGAAGTCTTCAGCGCTTAAGGTTAGTTGGTGTGTTGAGATTTTTTTTTTCTTTTAATATGGCATCTTGTGTTGTTTGAGTAGGATGTGCATGATAGAACGTCATCACAGAAGAAGTCATTAACAGATCCATGGGTGGCTTTACAGAACCAGTCACAGTTTACAAAAACTGTACAACAGTTATGAGTGGATTTGTAGAAAGTGGCTCCTTTAAAATTGAGCTAGTCGGAACAACAATATGTGGTGCTCATACTAGGAAAGCACATGGCTTCATGTGTGGAGCTATGTTTGCTTTTTAACTACTCAGGTTTTGAGGTAAAAACAAAAGCCCTCACCTCTGAAGCTGTGTGTTGCACTTTCCTATTATCTTCAGATCTGACCTTTCTTATACATATCACCTTTAATAATATTATATAAGGTTGTATTGTATTTGCTCTTTTCTGTGTTGATTATAATACAATTTCAAAGGCTTTTTTTGTTTGTTTGTTTGTTTTGTTTTTGTTTTGGTTTTTTTGAGACAGTTTCTCTGTGGAACAGTCCTGGCTGTCCTGGAATTCTCTTTGTAGACCAGGCTGTTCTTGAACTCACAGAGATCTGCCCACCTCTGCCTCCTAAGTGCTGGGAGGAAAGGTGTGCACCACTATTGCCCAGCTTCAACTGTTTTTGTATTCTTTTCAAAACAAGCATTTAAGAATTTACACATCCAAATGAGACCTGTTCCCTTCAGCGTAATCACCTTTGGAAGATGGCTACTTCAGCAATCTTCCCATTGTTCAGAGAGTTTTGGGTAACTCTTCTTCTAAATATCCTTAGAAGATGCAGTATTATTAAATATATCCTTAGTGATGAAAACTCTTCATCCTTTGGGAAATTTACTTTTTGGAAATAACTGAAACTCATTCAGCAAGCACCAAGTCTGTTGCAGCTAGTAGGAAATCAACTTGGGCAACTGAAATTTTGGTTTTTACCACCATGTGTCGCCACCCCTGGCCCCAACCATTCAGTTTTAAAGGAAGACAACTAATTTTAGTGTGTCACTTTTTGGCCTCATTTTATCAGTGTGCTCACTCAGAGTTCTCTATTGAAATACCCGTGTTTTGCCTGATGTTATTTTACCCTCTGATTCAAGAATATTTTGATATTGAACATACACATACCTTTCTTTAATTAGATGTTTCTGAAATCAAGTATTCACATGTGCCTTACATTTGTGACTATTAAAAGTTTGACCCTTGCTTTATGTTCGTCATATCTGAAGTCAACTGTTTTGTTGACGTTCTGCAGTTTCAATTTTAATTTGATATAAACAGTAATTAATGTTCCAAAGACTATTCTCTTAATATATTTTGAATCAGCAATTCTATTTGATAATTTTAAAAAAATGTAAGAATTTGGATATTTTGAAAAATGAATACACATTGTTTCCTGGTATTATCTAGAAATTACTTTGAGACCTGCTAGGCATTCATTTGTTTTCTCTTGCAGCAGCCAGAGAAGTCCATCACCTGGTCCAAATCATACTTCCAGTAGTAATGCATCAAATGCAACAATTGTACCACAGAATACGTCTGCTCGGCCTGCGTGTTCATTAACACCTACGCTAGCAGCACACTTCAATGATAATCTCATAAAACACGTTCAGGGGTGGCCTGCAGACCATGCAGAGAAACAGGTATGTCTGTCCCCTTTCCTGTCTCCTTTCTTTTCTATTTTTTCACTTCTCCTTTCTTCTTCTGTGTGATGCTAGTCTGAAATTTACTGTGTAAATGCAAAGCTAGCTTGGAACATAATATCTTATCACTTCCTCAGGTAGAGTGCTAGGAGGATAGGTCTGGACTAAAACCATACCTAATCTGACTAAAACTATGTATTTTTAAGAACTTGGTAGGAAAATCGAAAACACTTTGGACCATTAAAGAAACTTTTGTGCTTCTGTATGCAAAGTTTGATTCTGTACTTTTAGTGTAAGTTCTTACATTCTTTTGTGTAAGTTCAGATTTTATGTGAGCTTCATTTCTTTAACTATAGGCATCAAGATTGCGTGAAGAAGCCCATAATATGGGAAGTGTTCATATGTCAGAAATATGTACTGAATTAAAAAATTTGAGATCTCTAGTTCGAGTATGTGAAATTCAAGCAACCTTGCGAGAGCAGAGGTAAGTTATTCACTGGTGTTTGTGCTTTTCCTTATGAGGAACTCCCTGCAACAGTTATACTTTGGTTTGGAATGAGGGAGCTTAATATATGCATATTGCAAACAAAAGTAAAAGAAGAAAGCAGCAGATAACATCGATAGGGAAAGAGCAAATCAGGTGATGAGTTCCTGGTTGAGATATTTTTTTCAGGCAAAGCACTGTTCAGACCCTGGATAAGCTTCTGCCTTCCATTCCTCCACAGACATTTCGCCCCTCTGGGAAAAACAATAAGTCACCTGCATTCAGAATGACTACCTACTAGTTCTTTAACTGGTTTCCTTATTCTTAGTCACGGGATTGGGAATTGGCCTGCCTCATGAAAGGGAAGACTCAGACACTTGAAATAAACTTGTTGATAGTTAAAACAGCACACGACAACCAATATAACGTTTGTTCCCCCACCCCCGTGTGTGTGTTCGTGTGTACGTACCAGAGGCCGACTTCTGGTGTCTTCTCAGTTGCTTGGCACCTTGTATTTTTGAGGCAGGGTCTAGCTGGCCAGCAAACCCAGAGATCCTCCATCTATGCATCTGCAATACTGGGATCACAGAGACATGCTGTCTGTCACACCTGGCTTTTTTACATGCACTCAGGGAATACAGACTCAGAGTCTCAATTTGTGCAACAAGTGCTTTCTTGACTGAACCATTTTTCCAGCCCCTAAAATAATTGTCCTTACAAGAATTATGTATGGTGTTTTTCTCCCCGTATCTGCTGGAAGTATATTTTAAGACCACCATTAGATGCCTATAGCTGGTTAGTAGCAAACCCCTAAATGTTATGTCTTCAGTGGTACCTGGGCAGTATTCATTTTGTTCCTAGCTTTTCCAGTTTGAGTTACAACAGTAGAGTTAGCTCAGTTTTCTAGAAGGAAAATTCATTCTTTCTAAACTTTAGCAACTTGAGTTTCTGATTTTTTTTTTTTTAATTTGTTAAGCTTCACCTTTTTACTTATTTAAGGAAGCACTTTGTGACTTGTCAATGTCATGCTGAAGGTTTCAGGATCTCTATTTGTAATGGGATGACCAACATCACAGCCTGTGTTAGGGTATTACTTAGTAAATAATGATTTGTTGAATACAACCATTGGCAATACCATAAAGGTCGGTCTGATAAGAAAAGGACTAAGTGGTTAATAGTTGGGACAACCACATGCAGATTCTTTATACTGTACAAGATGATGCTTCACACCCTAGGGCAGGGCAGGTCAAGAAAGACACGAGACTCATTGAGCTAAGAACAGTACAGTTTAAACTGGGGAATTTTTCATTTCTTGAGCTTTTCAAATTTCAGGTGAACATAGAAGGCCTGAGTGACTGATTGAGAGTTGCTTGACTAAGGCAAAGGTGTCCTCATTGGTGTCAGTTTCTAACCCTAAAGAAAGAACAGCGCATAAGTGTAGAAGGAACTCAGATGAGATAAGATGCAAGCAGGACATTAGTGGAAGGATTGTACCCTTGTCTTTTTCAGGAAGGGGAAGTTCATCTGGTTTTAGTCAGACGTGGGAATTCCATGAGTCAAATTGTTGAGATCTTCATGATCTGTAATTGTATCATATTCTAGAAGTATTTTTTATAATTTAGTCTGCCTGCTAAGTGCTGTAATGCCTTGGCTTCCCATTAACTCATAGTCTCTTTATTTGGGGTTTTCCTCTTAGGTTTGTAACTCTGTACTCCTTGGTTTATAGCTGTGCTTCACAAGGATCCATTACTTTAAAAATGAAATGTTGATGGCAGCTAATTAGAGCTGCCCCTCTTGATTTATGGTTATGTTGGCTCAGTTAAAATCTTAGATTGATGTTTATATTTTTAGATCCTTTGAGCTAAAGACAATGTTATATTGTCTAGCCAAGTTGTGGTGTGTCTGAAATCTTAGTATTTTCCCCTTTGCTTATTATTCTGTTTATCTGACATTTAACATAGATAAGATTAGGTAGCATAGGTATATTTGATACACATGCAACTTTGAAATGACAGATTTTATTTGGCATAAGTTTTATCTACATCTGTAGTAATTAATTGTAGTTTATTGGCTTCTTGTCTGTTTAATTCTAATCTGAGCAAGAAATGCAATATAGCTTTATCTCATAGTTATTACCTACCTTTTTAATGCTTATACTACTTACAAATTTTAAATCATTCTGTATATTTGAAAGAAATGTTGAAAATTGCTAGGAAATTAAGAAATTTTCCAGCTTTTCCAATATTTTAATGTATGATGTGTTAAGTGCTCTTAACTATAAGCTAAGACTTTTTAACCATTCAGTATTAGTATTCATTTTATATTTTCATAGTTTTTTGTAACATACAGATCTTAATATCTGCTCTTATTTTTCAGGATACTGTTTTTGAGACAACAAATTAAGGAACTCGAAAAGCTAAAAAATCAGAATTCCTTTATGGTTTGAAGATGTGAATAATGGCACATGGAATCCTACAGGAACTGTAAATCTATTGCCCAGTCATAACATTTTGAGCTGCATTTAAGTAGACTGTGGACCGTTAAGCTGGGCAAATGAAATGACAAGGGGACGGGGGTCTGTGAGAGTCAATTCAGGGGAAAGATACAAGATTGATCTGTAAAACCCTTGAAATGTAGATTTCTTGTAGATGTATCTTCACGTTGTAAATATGTTTTGTAGAGTGAAGCCATGGGAAGCCATGTGTAACAGAGCTTAGACATCCGAAACTAATCAATGCTGAGGTGGCTAAATACCTAGCCTTTTACATGGAAACCTGTCTGCAAAATTAGCTTTTTTAAAAAAAGAAAAAAATTTGGGGGGTTAATTTATCATTCAGAAATCTTGCATTTTCCAAAATCCAGTGCAAGCGCCAGGCGATTTGTGTCTAAGGATACAACTTTGAGCAGTGTACAGATATCATGAGACAACTGTTCCGCACTTGCACCTGATCAAGAGCAGTGCTGCTCCATTTGTTTTACAAAGAAATGTTTTCATTTCCTGTATGTTCCATTCCCTCAGAAGTCCTTGGCCTGATTTTATCCATTTTTAAGGTGCCCCTTCTCCTTTCTAGGGCACTGTTGCTGTGGCACTTTTCTATCACCTTCTCATTCCTGTGTACAGTAGCTGGAAGTTGCAGTGATCGAGCATAACCCACATGTTTGTATAAATTATTGAAATCCATTTGCACCCTGTAAGAATGGACTTAAAAGTACTGCTGGGCAAGTGTGCTGAAAGTACATTGACTGCTCAAGTATAAGGAAGTGGCCCAATGAACATGGTTGTGGGAGGGGAAGAGGAAACAGAGCTAGTCAGATGTGAATTGTATCTGTTGTAATAAACATGTTTAAACAAATACATTTTGTTACTTTCTTTTCCTTCGGTCAGTGCATATTAGAAATTGAACTACATGGGGATTCTTTATCAAAACTTCTTGTTGAATATTTATATCTTATTACAGTAATTCCTTAAAGGGAGGTTTTGTTTAAGGCATATTAACAATAAATTGTGCAAAAGATATTTAATGAATGTGAAATTCAACAAGAATGATGAAGTCACTTCCCAAGTGGTATCATTTGTTCAACCTGGTTTTCCTGTCTTGCTATTATGACACTTCATTTTGAAGGATGTTTGTGTTGTAGCTAACTGTTCAAGTCTGGTGCTGACTGCTTTTTCTTAGCCATCACAAAATGCTCAGTTTGTGTAATCAGAGTTTCCTGCTGTTACACAGAAATGGTGGGGAAGCTCAGCTTTGTATATTGTTTCCTAAAGTATATTAAAATAAAAAAGAAACTATTGCTACTATAAAACTACCTTGCCTTTTTTTCCCCTCTGCTTGAAAATATTAGTCACATGGCCTTAGCATGACACTGCCAGTGTTGTACCAAATCACAGGAGTTTTTGTATACAGAAAAGTCTTTTAACCTTAAATTGTAAATTCTGGCTTAAGAGGGTTTTTTTTTGTTTTGATTTGGGTTTTTTGGTTTGGTTTGGTTTTGCAATTGTTGGAGCAGATGTGTGCTTCCAGTTTACCATCACCAAGGGCTGAGTTTTGCTCCAGAGTCAATGTTAACTTTCTGAAATACTGAATTCTAAAAATTACTTTTGTAATTTTTGCTTTAACTATATTTATTTAATTATATTTAAGCTACAGAGGGTAACATTGAAACTTTCTCTAACTTTAATCAACCAGTCTTAAATGATAGTATTGGTGTTTTTTCTGAAACAGATGTTATTGTGTGATAGAGGAGGGGTAGCCCTTACCCTGGAAGCTGACCCTGCAGTTATTTACAAGTACTTTTTAAACACCAAGAAAAGAGACATGTCAGGAGTTACGATGAAATGTTCATACCTGTGGAGTTTTTACCAGCTGCTGCACTGTGCTCATATGTGTAAATGGAGTCCTGAAGACTGTGTCAAGCTAAAACCCAGGCTGTGCCTTTTTCAGCAAATGGCTACAGATTTGTAGTGGAAGAGATGACCATTTTGTGGTCAGGTGCAGCTTGACTTGTGTGTTGCATAACTGATTTTTGTGGTCAGTACTCCATTTATCTGTTATGTCACTCTATTCCTAAGGGTTTTAATATTTATAGCCTTAAGTAGATTAGTTAAATATTAGAAAAATGCTTAATTTGAACTTTTTTGTGGAAATACTTTGTAATTGATCCAATTGCATTTTTTATGGTTTTTGCACTTTAATACACATGCTGCGTCTGGCTCCTAACCTCCTGAGGTGACTACGGCATATCTCTTAGAGCAGGTGCAGTATCCTGGATTATCCTTAGTTGCCATGAATTTGAACGTGTAACTTAATTTAAAGAATTTGAAAAACAGAAATTCTAGATAACTCTAGAAAACCTTAATCCCCCTCCCATTTAAAAAGTAAATATTTGAACTTTGTAACTACTGTTACCACGTGTGTGGTGATACATCTATTAGAAAATCATCCCCTAAAGAGAACTGGCCATCTCTGTTAAGTCTTGTCTTGGTTTCAAATCTTGGGGCTGTAAATTAAAAAAAAAAAAAAAAGCACACAAAATACTCCATACTCAAGTTTTTTAAAGTAAGATTTTTTTGGGGGGAGGAGGAGGGGCCCCTAAATGGGCAGCTTTATGTTTGTTTCATTCTTGTTTGTAAAATTATCTTAGGGAGGAGGGGCTTAAAAACTTCCAAGTGAGATTGCTTTTCCTATTTCATGTTCTGTCTATAAACACCTTAGCTCTAAGGGAATCCTTTAAAGGGGAGCATGCAGGAAAGACCATTTATTCTGCCTACCAGAGTCTTGAGAAGTTCCTTCTTCAAGCTACTGTAATTAGGTGCTGGGTTTAAATATCCAGAGTTCTTTTCAACACCTGTAAATATGCCTATATTCTTGTATTTGTACAGAAGTGTACAAAATGATAAAAGTAATAAAAAATGTTTTGACTCTATTGTGCAATTATTTCAGAAATGTGTGAAAACAGTCTTAAGGGCAAAATTGTGTGTTTTGAAGGAAATTTAAAATACTTGTAGTAGATAGCCACTTAAAATGTTAGTGGTTGGGTTTCAGTGATCTAAGTGAAAATTCAAAGAGCTCTAGACATGCATGCCTGGCACACTTCACTCTCCCAAATGTGTAAATCCAGGTTGATTTTGGGATTTAGGCCCTATTGTACTTACTGTTTGCTCCTGGTCCCTGAGCGTTGAGGGGGTCCTGCATGCAGCTTGCCTAGATGGTCTCTGAGATTCAGTTACATTGAGATTTCCTCTGAACTGGTCTGTGAGTTCCTGACAACACTCTATACATTTGCCTTGATGAGTTGAGTACCTGCAAAAGACTTGCTCTTTAGAATTGGTTCTCTGTGGTTGTTCAAGACTTGAGTCCAGTTGTTTTGTTCCTTGCCATGCATAGCCCACCCTCCAGCTTTGCCTTTCAAAATGCATTCAATTCCACCCATTACTGACCACAGCAGTCCACTCTGGTGCCATCAGTCAAGATGCTGACATATCCTAACCTTTCTGCTTCTGCTTTAGGTTCTCATAGGCTCCTACCTCTTATCCTATGCCCCTATACATCACACTGCCCATTAATCTGTGCCCTGTTTCCATAGAGAATATGCCAGACCTACTGCTCAGTTAAGTCTGAAGCATTGTGTCTGGATTTCACCTTAAGCCTTGGAAGAACTCAGTTCCTCTCCTGCACATTACAGGCCATACCTACTAAATAGAAGTAGGAAATCTTGCTGTCTACATAGTATTCCAGTTCTCTGCACTGATTATCTTCTATCTTCAAAACAGCACCTCATAGTACCCCATACTTGAGTACATAGTACCCCATGTCTTGAGTACATAATATTTCCTTACTGCTGAATGAATTATAGCTGTCACAAGGCTTTGAACAGAACCAGAATTTAGAGTTCACAAAGGTTAAGGAAATTGCTTTCTTTATGCTTTCATTTTGTGCACTCCTAGTGAGGCAGGAAAGGAACAAAACAAAGAAGGGAGGTTTGATAATAGTTGAGTCTAATGAAAACAACCACATTGTTAACTCCCAAAGGTGATTAGTGATTAGCATGGTGAAATGTTAACTCATAAGGCCGGAAAAGTCAACAGAAAAGAGCAGAATCATTTAATATGAGTAAGTTAGCTGATGAGAATTAAGACACTGCTGGGACCATTCTGGGGGCATGACCTAGGACAACCTGTCCCTGTCCCTGAGGTAGACTTCTGTGAGGCATGGGAGGAGGCTTAGTGGTCTCTAATGGACATAAACCTTTGCTTAGGTGATTTCGCCTAACCAGATACTAATGACATTTTAGCACAAGAACAGGATACCCAGCCATACATTAACTAGCAAATGATTGTGAGAATTGCCTGCCCTTGAAGTAGGTCTGACTGGTAGCATTCTCTATAGGTGCTTATAAGCAGCTGGTTCTTCCTGGTCAGAAACTTCTGGACAATCATGGCAGGATGTAAGCACAGTGGTTTTTATCTGTGTGTTGTTTCCATTCTCGGGAGGAATGTGAATGCTAATCAAGTGTCTTGAGAGTGAAGTCTGTCTTTGAAATGTTTGCCCTGTATTTGCTCAATGTTTTGGAAAATATTTAAAATTCATTCTTAAACAGCATCATATACATATTCAAACCTCAATTCCACCTTTGGTCTTGGACCTTTTAGATTTAAGTCAGGAACAGAAAATACAGCTTCAGAGCACTCACTGCCAGTGCTGTTTCCAGCTGAGTTTCTGTGAATTAGATTCAGAAGTGGGTTTCCAAAGGTCCTACCTAAAATTGATAATTAATGAAATTGCAAAAGATGGCCTCAGATTTTAAAAAGGGAGAACATCCCTCCACACACAATGAGAAGCACCCAGCCCCCCTCTAATCCAAGAAGTGATAGCCACAGTGAAAGGAATGTAGAGCATGTGAGTGCATGGAGCATATTTCCTAATCACTCTGAGTCAGTCCTGTGGTTTTAAGTGGGGAAATATGAAGGAAATGGGGCCTGTGGGTAGGTAACACATGAGGATGAAAGTCACTAACCAGGGTGCCAGTTGAAGCTGACAAAATTCTGTCTTGCTCCTTTCCTCGTTAGTACCTTTGCAGAACTTGGGTGGAAGCTCTGAGGCATTTTCTGCAACACCAGAATGGAAGAGATTTGTTTTTAAAGTGTATTTTGCTTTTCTTTATGTTAGTGTCAAGGAGGATTTCATGACATAATCATACATGCCATTATACCTGCTTGGTTATTCATCTTTCTATTTCCCTGCTTGTTAACAGGATATTTAATCACACTGTGACCCCCAAGATTGTGTTATTTAAATAAAATCAAACATAGGTCAAGAGGTGGAACAAGTAACCAGTTGGCTGAAAATAGAGTGAGGAGAAATTGAGAGGTAAGGGAGTTGGGGGGAGAAGCACAGAAAATAGAAGGGAGGGACATGTGGTTGGAGGAGTTTTATTTCAGAGAGCATAGGAGAAAACCCTCTTTTTAAGACAAGGATAGAAGGCCAGTCAGCTGCTTTCTCTGCCTCTCTGAGCTAGCAAGTTTTCACCCCAGCATCTGGCTCCTGAGTCTTTATTGGCAAAACAAGAAATACTTAGTTACAACATTTGCCTCCCTACATGGAGGCAGTTGAGGCAGCAGCAGCAAGGCTCCCTAAGGCCTCAGCATCAGCAGCAAGACTGCAGAGGTGTCAATAGCTAAGGCAGTGATGAGATCAGGTGCAGCTGCTGTGTCACAGGTAAAGATCAATGATTGTCACCCCAATGTGAGACACGATCTACCAACATCAGAGAAACTCATCTCCACAGAGAAAAGATTTAAAGCCTATTGTTAAATACCATACAGCTCTGGATGTGATCAATGACAGAACAGCTTCAGTAGGTAAAACATTCAGGAGAGGCCAAAACAAGTATTTTGGCAAACTGCTATAAATGATCAAAGACCAAAGTTAAAAATACTAATAATAAAAGGCATTGAAATTGTAGGGTTATTAGACACAGGTGCTAATGTAACAATAATTTCACCAAAATCTTGGCATCCAAATTTGTTTCTTCAGAAAGTAAATGTTCAGCTTCTAGGGATTAGAGCATTATCTCAGGTCAAACAAAGTACAAGATGGGTTGTGTGGATAGGGCCAGAAGAACAGTTAAAAAGTTAAAGCCATATGTTGATAGTATAGCAATGAATTTATAGGAATGTGGTTTGTTGCAGCAATCTGGGAACCAAGCCATAAAGAATGCTTTGGCTGGGCGGTGGTGACACATGCCTTTAATCCCAGCACTCGGGAGGCAGAGGCAGGTGGATCTCTATGAGTTCGAGCCCTGCC